AAAAAAAAAAGATGAACCAGTGATAAATTATTCAATCTGAAGAGGAGACTGATACATATTTAATAAGAGAAAGTATAAGTCAACTTCTTGCATCCAAGAAAATTTTATTTTCTCAAGCCCCCTATTGATGTTTGCAATTTTTTAACTTTTTCAAAGCAACTTTTTCTTATTCGTACAACTTTGTAGGGTAGGAATGCTAAATCCTTATCATCTGACAGCTGAGGAAACAGGAAACCAAGTAACATCGTTACAGTGGGAGCAACTGAAAACTGCTTCCTGGTCACCTGGTTTTCTTCCGTGAGATCTCTTCACTAGGCACTGCTGTGAAAACAAAACAAAACAAAACAAAATCTAGCTAGTTCAAAGTTAAAAATGATACAATATTAGGTAGCTTCAAATCTCCAGAAGCACCAGAGAAACAGACTTGAAGACTATATAACTTTGATTAACACCTAAGTCAGATTCAATAACTGCTATAGGGAAAAGCCTACTCCCTCCATGTTTGGCCTACAAAGCAAAGTTTGGACAACCAGAGCCAGAACCTCATCACTGCAATCCTAAAAAAGACCCATACTTCAGAGTCTCCCTCAACAAACCAAAAGATTTCCTGTAATGTTTGTTTTATGGTTTTGCTTTATTCCAAATACATATTCCACTCAAGAGAATATGATTAACAGAATCTAGGTCATTCATTTGAGCCTGCATTCACAATGTGAGAAATCCCCCAAACATAAAAATGATATCCAAAAGGAACTGAGTAGGTTTAACATAGCAAAGAACATGTCACAAAGTTTTCTCTAAATGAATGTGAGTCACAGAATTACTGTGGTTTGGGAGCTGAAAGGGATCTTTCAAATTGCCAGTGTTTTCTAAACTTTAGGTCATGACTAAATAGAGGGCCATACAATTTATATAGTGTGCTTCACAGTTTTTAAAAAAAGAACAAAATTGAAAATACCATGATGTATTTCACTTGGCAAATGCAAACCTTAATTGATAAAATTTTTTTCCTCATCATATATATATATATATATATATATGTTCATAAATGTACATGTATCTATAGTATGCTTCTCAGATTCCTGAGTCCTAATGATAAATATATTTCTTACTTGAGTCATAGTAAAAATAATAATACATAAATTGAAAATCACAAGTCAAATAAAACCTCTCGATTTTATGTTTGACAGAGGAAAAAATAAAACTCAGAGAAATCAAGTATCTTGCTCTGGTGGTTAATGTAAATACAGAAACAAAACATAAAAAAAATCAGTTTTACACTCCATTATAAGGGCATAATTTACTTCCATTTTCTAAGTAGAACTATTTCTAGATTAGTCCAGTTATAATTATTGAATATATTTCATTAGTATATCACAAAAATATTGTAAATTTTATAATTGCATTTGAAAGCAGGTATAAATTAATTAATTGTTATCACTTGCTATAGTTAACACTAGTCTTAACAATATCCTGTATATCAACTCTAGAAAGATAGTTAATCTATCTATGTGTTATTTTAAAGATTTTCAATATGAACAGATACATTAAGAACTGCAGAAAAGACACTGGAATCACAGTAACATATAACTTTTTAAAGAAAATTAACCTATTTTTAATAAACAGAAGCAGTTTTAATATTATAATTTGCTTTATTGAATGAAAAGATATCAGTAACAATATTTTTCTTGATAGTTTTCCAATCTGTCTGTATCAAAATTTTGTTTTGAAATATCATTAAATACATCTTCTAAAGGAAGATTCTATTATTTGAAATAAAATGTGAGCTGGGTGTGGTAGGGTATGCCTGTAATCTCAGCTACTCAAGAGGCTGAGGCAAGATAATTGCTAGTTGGAGGCCAGCCTGGGCAACTTATCAAGACTATGTCTCAAAATAAAAATAAAAACAAACAAACAAAAAATAAAATACAGGAATGTATTTTAATACAGTGCGACAGCCCTTGCCTAGCATGTCTGGAACCATGGGACCAGTACTGCAAAAATAAATAAATAAATAACATGACATAACATAACATAACATAAAGGATTTTTAAAAAAATGTTTTCAAATGATGACACTTCTACATATTAAAATTTTGAATAATAAAACAAAGTATTTAAGCTTCATGGGTATTTTTATGTTCATAGGCAAGAATTATACTAATAATAGGTAAATATTTTTTAAATAACACAGATTTTATGCTTCCAGACCTCATAAATTTCTGATAAGGATCCTATTTCTAGACACTCATGAACCAGTGACTTTTTCCAACTTGGAATATAATAAGGAGATTGATCAAGTCTTTTTGCACTTTTGATGTACACCATGTTTTATAGATATAAATTTAATATTAATGCTATTATTATGCAACATTAAAGTCTAGTTTTTAAGAATTTTATTGGTTTGTCCAGCAGAGTCACAATACTGTATTTTACTCTAACATCTCCTTTCTCAAAAAGTAATTTTAAATAACAATAAAAGAATTTTTTAAAAATTAGTTATTTACAGTAAATAAAACCTGCTATGGGGGGGTGCTGATATTTTCCTGAGCATAGGATATACTTGTTGAATATGGCACCAAAGCTAGACCTTGCTGTGAATCCCTTTTTGCTGGTGAGTAAAATAGTTATTTCACTGTTGAATCCCATTACCATTCCTCTGCTACCTGAACAGACAGAAAGCTTTTTGTAACATTACCAATTAGACTGGAGAAAGGTAGTTATAAATGTCAATATATATGGTGCTCTATGGTAATTGCTGCGTCCTGATAAGAGAGCTCAATACAAGTGTTTCTAAGGACATATTGGTCTGTGTTCCACTTAAATTCATAGAGACTTAAAGTCTATCCAGTTTCTGGATCTTGAGTTGCTTCTCAAGAAAGTGACAAGTCAAAGAAATAAAGATATGGAGCTCTTTCTTACTTGAAAATGACTACCTAGTTTTAAATAAGTTCATTTTTATTTTTTCTTCTATTATTTGCTTAAGGTAGGTACTATACCAACTAGAATGGCTAGTTAAGAAATAGCAAGAAGTTACTGCATACTTCTTAAAAATAGAAAACCTTTAAAAATCTCATTAATGACTTTGTAAATTGTAATAGACATTCACATGTACTGTCACAAGTGACATAAACTGCTACCATCATTTGGAAAAGACCATTTGATGATATACATCCAAAATTTCAATATGTTTGATTACTTTGATCCAGGAATTCAACTTTCAGGAATTAGCATAATGCAATGTGTAACCAAAAAATAGACAAATGTGTAAAATGGTGTTCACCACAGCGTTATTTGTAATACAGAAAGAAATGGAGATGCTGTACATATACAATGACTGGAAATTGGTTAATGAAATGGTAGGTAATGAAATGGTAGGTTACTCATTCAATAGATTACCATGTAAGGATGAAGAAATATCCCTTTGAAAATAATGTATCCAAGCAAAGAAAAAATGTTAACAGTTGTTATCTCTCAGTGGGGGGGTCTCCAGGAGACTTTAATCATCTTTATTCCCTTTTATATTTTTCAAATTTCCTTCAGTAAACATCTTTAACTTTACAAAGGTCTTAAAAATTAATTTGCTAGTAGTGTGGAGGAAAGCTTAAAAATACCACTCAGTACAAATAAAATATAATGTTCTTTTTTGTATGATTGTAGTTTCCAAATATTTTCACCTCTACTTGCCTCCCATGTATATGAAACTGTGGAAAGAGCCCAAAGAGATGTGTCATTCAAACTCCCCTTTCTTCCCAAATAAAATTCCCCCAATAAGGTCACCACATTCTCATTTTATTAGGCACTTCCATGTAAGCTCTTTCGTAATGTAATTCATTCTTTGGAAGTTCCGATGTCCCTATCTGTGCCTTTCATCTGTCTCATCACTGGCAGGCCATATCTTCCACCAATCTTCTCTCACTTCTCACTTTTCCTGTGACCCAGAAAGCTCTTGAGACAATTACACAAAGTAAGCTTTATTCGTATTTATAATTGATCAGAAGTTTTCACTGCAAATGATTTCTATAGTGTCGTTAGCCAACAACTGCAATACGAAGGTGGTCCATGGTGTAACACAATTCATTCAGGATGCTCTGGCTATTGACTCTCTCAAGCTCTGGCAGCCTTAGTACCATTTTAGGAGCTACCTCTGTTTGGAAAGCAGTGCTCCACCTTTCTGAGTAGAAATCAGCAATCACATTCCCAGAGAGCTGCAACTAACCCTCTACAATGGAGGCCTGAGGTCACCGGAACGGAGTTTAAAAGCGCTCCAAAGTATATACCAGGGCAGGCTTCCTGCTGGTCACCACAAGAATTGTCAAGGACATCTGTTGGGAGCTTTCTGATTTTACAACGAGGTCCTTTCATAGCTTCCATGGGTTCTCCTGGCTCTCTCCTTTCCTCATTTTCTGTCTTTCATTCAACAGTAGCACTAAAGGCATTAGCCATTTTTGGCCAGTGAATTAAATCAGCACTTGCAGCCTGACTTCTCCCAGGGCCAATGAAAGCCTGTGTCTTGGATCCTTCTTTTTGAAAAATTCCTGCGCTGCAAAATATTTTAAAAGGAATCTAGCTAGGAGAAACCTACACAGGTGTAACAAAATACAGTGGAGAGATCAAGTAGAGGGCGCTGGCCGCGTGGCACCAGATTGCAAACTACACTGACGGGAAGAGGAAGAAGACGTGCAAGACCTAGAAGGCAGAATGAAGCCCAAACTCAACAAACTCCTACGCGCAAGCGCGTCGCTCCCTGCGCCGGCTCCCCAGGCCGCACCAGGGCGCCTGCGTACAGAATCCGGGCGAGGTGGGGAGAGGACCTGAGCTCCTCTCCTGGTTCCCCCGCCCTCCGCCTGCGGGCCCCGCCCCCTCCAGCTGCTCGCCTTCCCAAACAACCCGGTGCCCACCGCCGCGACCGCTCATTGGTCCTTGGTCTTTTCCGTTTCCTCCCAGCCCTCCATATTTCACCAATCGGACCCGACGTTTGGGTAAAGGTCCACCCCCGAGACTGTCGCTTGGGCTCCTCTGCCTCCTGCGGCTGCTGCCTCCTCTGCTGCCTCCTCCTTCCCCACCTCCTCGGTCCGGGAGAATCCGCGGGGGCCTGAGGGGCGGCGGAGGCGGCGGCAGCGGCTGCGAAATGGAGCCGGGGGCCGGCGGCCGGAGCGCTGCTCGCGAGCAGAGTGCCGGGCCCCCGAGCCCTCGGCAGCCCCCGGAACAGGAGCGGAAGCTGGAGCAGGAGAAGCTCTCCGGGGTGGTGAAGAGCGTCCACCGGCGGCTCCGCAAGAAGTACCGAGAAGGTAAACAGCGAGGAGGGGGAGGGGAGCCTCATCCCCCCGCCCCTGTCACCCCCCCCCGCCCTCCATTGAAATCCGAGGGAGCTGCACGTCAGGCGCTGCTCAAGCCCTCGGCCGCTCCGCCGCCCCCCTTGCCGCGAGGGCCTTCGGCGGAGTTCCGGGCCCGTAGAGGAGCGGAGTCCTCACCCCTCCAAGCCCCTGTCCCCAGTCGCTGTGCTCAGTGTTGTCACCGCTCGCACACCCTTCCCCGAGAAGGTAGAGGTAGCTCGCTGAGAGAGACGCAAAGGTAAAAGGCAGAGACAGGTAAAATCCTGTGGTGAAAGACGGATGGAGAGAAGCTGAGTTGCCCCTCGTTCCCTGGCGGTGGACCAGCCTGTTGTTACGTTCGCTTGCCGTCAGGTCCTCTTCCTAATAACCTCATCCTACAGCTGTTCCCAGAAGCTTCCTCGCAGCGGCTTCCAGGGCTGTGAAGTGAGCAGGCCTTTTTGCTGACTGCACTTCACTGTTAAAAGGGATCAGGCTGCACCCATGCCCCCACACCCATTCTTCAAATGCTTAATCTTCGTGTTTTTGTAGAGATCTGGGGGAGGTCCTTAAAATGCTGTTTGGTTTTGTAGCTTCCTAAAGACAGGTACTGAGAAAGCCGTCCTTCGTGAGAGCCTCCAGCTTGGACGACCTTAAGGGAGGGAAGAAGCGTTAGTAGCGCTGGCTTATCCTGAGTGCTTGTAGTTGGGATCTTCAGTTACCCTCTTCAATATAGGTTATTGTACAGAGCTATTTTATAAGATTTTGGCAGTGAAAGGTCTCAGCATTTTCATATGTTCAGGAGAAAGTTCTCTTAGGTATCAGAATGGGGTAATTTTCAACTGGCTCTCAGTTTAGCTTAATTGCAAACTGAAAAGTCAGTACTTATCTATCCTTAGTTAATAATTTAGGTTAGAAGCAAAATTACAACAGTGAAGGAACAAAAACATCTGAAGTCATGTTACTCTCCACTTATGTACACTTTTCATTTACTATAGAAAGTTAAAACTAAGTGTTTTTGTGCCTTCGAATGTAGTTGATAGGTTTTCTTCCCTTGGCAACTCAAGTCTAGCTTTTAACAGACTGCTATCATTTAATAGGTGCCAATAGAGACTTATGAAGAATAGATAAGATATTGAAATTTGTTTTTAGCAGTGCTTTAAATCCCAACCACAATTTATTCAATAAAATGAGTAGTTACCATAGCAGCAATTGCATCATTCTTGATATTCGAAGAATGCATTTACATAATGGCATTCACTGTAGATTTTTAGGTTATTTGAAGAAAAGAGGAACTAAATGGACACTTTCTTGCAATTTTTTCATGCCATTTTGTATAATTGTAAGTGCATATTTTTAAAGAAAACTGGCATATGATTTACTATCCATTTTTTGCTTTTCATAATTCATTATTCATCATTTATTCATAAATGAATTAGAGTCCACTTAAATTAACACGATGCTAATGTGTCATCATCTCTTCAAGTGCTGTTTGTGCATGCTTAGTTCCTACATGTTTAAACATGTCTTTAAGGCCAAATATTAACCACAGGAACAATTGTTTATAATGAGAATTGGGTAGTTGGAAGTTACCAGAGCTGGAATAGGTATGTGTAGTTCAGAAGTGAATGATCTAGTGTGCTGCTGTGCAGGTAAAGTACTGACAATCTAAACTTTTGAATGAGATTGTTTTTTAGGCATTTTAATGCCCTGAATTTCATCAGTGCTCTAGACTTCTCTAGGCTTTACCCCAGGGATACACAGAGCTCCATCAGTGGGCTAGAACAATAAATAATCATAATAAGCAGACTCTCAGCACCTTTACTTTTGATGTCAGGCAAATCTTACTTATAAAAACGCCTTTCATGAAAAAGCCTGATTGTGTGCATAGTCCCAAAGACATAATTTCTAGTGTTTTACTTTGGGCACTTAGTATTGAAATAATGATGATGCCCAGTTTGTAAACATATTTTACAAGTTCACTTGCAAATCATGAGATAATATAAATGATTTTTAGGTGGTTGGTCAACCTACAAAGGCTTATTTAATCAGTAATGTATCTGAACTATTGTACCAATAACTATGGAAACTCATTAGGTCCTGTAAATTCATCAGCCAGATTTTGGACTAGTAATGTAAAGTAACTCCTCCTTTTTACATATGAGTGAGCTGAGTCCTGAATATATTAAAATAACTTGCTTGAAGCTTGAGTAGTTCATCATTAGTACTATACATATCGTATGGGGGTGATAGGTTTCCTTCTCATTTTCAAGCTTAATGTTGGTGATTCTGAATGTTAGGATGTAAGGGAAAAGGAAAAGGGGGAAATAGCTCTAGAATTTGGATTAGGGACAAGGATATAAAGTGATAGGAATGGGTGATCTATAGGATAGGTATGATTAGCTTAGTTGGGGTTACGTGAGGTATGGATTTTTTAGAGTGAGATGGTAGGGAAAGAAAGAAAGCTGAGGTGAAAGGAAGGTAGCAAAGCAGTCATGGAATAGTGGATTTGAGTGAGGACTGGATAGTAAGTGTGGGGTTGGAGAATAGGATTTTGCCTTCCCTTATCTCTGGTAGTGGAATTGAAAATGAAGCAGAAAAAAGAATGAAAATCAGGTTGTTTTCTCTTGTGATGGGAAAGATTTGACTGCTCCAGTCTGTTAATGGGGAAGAGCAGCTGGGGTGAGGAGCCCTGAATAGGGTTATAAAGACTAGTGGGTAGATTTAATGTGGTGTTTTGTTACTTTTTCTCTCCATACTACATTTTGCTGCTTGTCTAGTTAAGGATCCTATGCCATTTTACATAAAGGTAAAGCAAAAATTGGAAGTAAAGGTCAGTGTTTAAGGCAATATTGCATTATCTAAAGTAGTTACTAAAAGGAAATGCTAGAGAAATGCCGAACTATGGTGATGAGAAAAGGAGTTTTCTGGAGTCAGCCATTTGTAGATGAGACCTTCTTTTAGATTGAATTTATATAAATGGAATATTCTTGCATTTATATGTATTTTCTGGTTTTTGCTATGCATAATTTTAAAATTTTATCTCCACACAAATCAAACTTATTTACTTTAAATATATCCTAAGAATTATAAACAGTTTATTAAGAAGAGATAGCTGGTTTTATTTTCCAAACAGGGATTTCATTGCTTTATCAGATGTGCCTGATAAGTACATCTCAAATTGAGAACTGAACTAGAGGCATTTGTATTTTCAGTTGTCTTTATGTGATTTCTTTTCATAATCTTACTCATAAAAATTCCTTTTTTGTCAAATATAAAAGTTCATGTAAAAATTTCAAGAACATATAAAAGGCTGCAGCTCTCAAGAGTAAAAGTACAATCTCCATTCCATTTAATTTTGATTCTTTTGCTTCTGTTTTGTATATTTCTTTACTTTTAGAAAATTTCATCAATTTGTTTTTTTCTCTGAATTTACTTATTCTACATATCAAAACAGAATAAAACAATTTATCGCATAAACACATGAAGGTTATAAATCAGTTGAAGAAATAAAAATGCATACTCAACTGTTAATAGTGTTTTCAAAGTCAAGGAGTTATGGGCAACCCTTATTACACTTTTCTACATTAAAATTAATGTTATTAGCAACAATGATAATTCTGTAAAATTAGATAAAACAGGTTATTGATACAGAAGCAGAAAACACAGGCTAGGGCATTTCTGTAGACTAGGTCCAGAAAAAAAAAAGTGTCACAAAGTTTACCAGTTGTGAGCAAGATTTTAGTATCAAGGACTAACTGACCTAGTTTAGATAATTAATACTTATTGGTTATTCAAATTTTCTTCTTACTTTGATACAAAAGGTGAATTAGAACAGTTGTTTAGGACAAGCTAAAAGTATGTATTTGTGATTATTCTGTGACAAACAAAATAAGGTATCTTGTGGGAAGGGGAAAAACCTGTGAATTAGAAATAATTTTGAACTAAAACCAAAATGTATAACATGAGTGAGTAAATGTAATGTTGTTGTTTTTACAAAACAAAATTTTGCAATTATTTTTTTTCCTTTAAATTCTTTTGTTGGTATATTATAGGTAGGCAGTACATTTACATTTACCGTTGGGTACTTGTACCTGTACATGATATATCTTGGTTCTTATTTTTTCCCCATTTCCTGTCCTCCCTTCACCCCCTCCACCCTTCCCTATTTACA